GAGAGAGAGAAGAGAGAGAAGAAGAGAGAGGGAGAGAGAGCAGAAGAGGAGATAGAGAGAGAGAGAGAGAGAGAGAAGAGAGAGAGAAAAGAAGAAGAACAGATAGATCTTGTGAGTTGCTATGAACACCCTTTTTTATGGGAATTGCAAAAAGAATAATGAAAATAAAAGTATATAGAGTGAAAGGGTAGAAAACGAGACCAACAGCTGAAAATCGTGCCAAAAAAAGAAAGAAAGAAGAGAAAGAAAAAAAAAAACAGCTTCAAGATGTCTATACACTGGTAAATATGTCTGTCTGTGAAATAGATAAATAAAAAACAAATGTGCTATAAAATTCTAGAGAAAATATAGAACATGGAAACCTGTCCGAAGACCAAGAAAAAGAGTATAATCGATAATTGTTTTATTTTTTTTTTTTTTTTATTTTTTTATTTATTTATTTATTTATTTTTTTACAAAATCTCGTGAAATAGAAAAGCGTTCTGGTGATACACTTGAATTTTGTTCATTTTTTGTAAACTTCAAGAGCTTTTATTACCAGATCGGTCTTCAGTTTCAAGAATATTTATTAACTCTTTGAGTATTATATTAAAAAAAAAACACGAGATATTTGGAAATGAAAAAAAAAAAAAAAATTAATTAATTAATAACTAATAAAAATTAGTAACTGAAAAATAGTTTATCTTTTTTTATAGACATTAGTGTTCTATCAAATGTAAGGTAAATTTTGTGTTTCATGATATTTTTTGTTAAGTTTCATATTAATTATTTATGAATTAATTGTTTCCTGTTTTTGTTTCCTCTTGTTGACCATAAAGTAAGATATATTAACCTTTTACTAAACCAACAATAATTATGATGATGCATAATGATATATGATAAATGCTGCTTCTTATACATAACATACAACATATATATATACATATATATATATATATATTATATATAATATATATATATATATATATAAGAAAAGAAATAATATAAACTTACAAAAATAGAGGCAACAATTCTGTGCATTTGCTTTAGTTTTGAAATAAAATATTCTTTTTATTTTGTGGGGCGAAATTTTATTACAACAAAATAATATTATCATGGTTTCACATTTTCTAAAATGTACAATATTCATTAAGTAAACAAACATCAAATGGGTTAAAATAAAAGCAAAGTAACTTTATTCACAAATAACCAAATTTGAGCACTTTAACCCTTTGTCAAAGTTAGGAAATTATTTAACAAAGAGATAAATGTCACATGGTCCATCCTTAATAATATTAACAAAATAAACGAAAACTAACGAAGAAAAAGGAGAAACCTCATAGTCTTTCGGTCGTTTCACAAAGGTACAGTCACAGTCAAAAGTCTTATCCAATTTATTTCGGAAGGCTAGATCAGCAGTAACTCGAGGAGGTGTCATGGCGTCCCACAGTACTATTTTGATGACTGTTCAATGAAAATATAACCATTAAAGTAATTATTTTCCATAATTGATCGACCCGATTCACTAAGCATCCATAACTTTCGTGACGTCAACAAAATACGTTTTTTTTTTCTTCCCCAAACATAGGATCAGACGCCATGACACCTCCTCCTCCAGTTGCTACTGATCTAGCCTTCCCCATTTGGTACAGGGTGAGGCAGATTGGAAGCTTCCAGTTCACGCCATGACACCTCCTCCTCCAGTTGCTACTGATCTAGCCTTCTCCATTTTGTGTACAGGGTGAGGCAGATTCGAAGCTTCCAGTTGACGCCACGACACCTCCTCCTCCAGTTGCTACTGATCTAGCCTTCTCCATTTGGTACAGGGTGAGGCAGATTCGAAGCTTCCAGTTGACGCCACGACACCTCCTCCTCCAGTTGCTACTGATCAGCCTTCCCATTTGGTACAGGGTGAGGCAGATTGGAAGCTTCCAGTTCACGCCATGACACTCCTCCTCCAGTTGCTACTGATCTAGCCTTCTCCATTTGTACAGGGTGAGGCAGATTCGAGCTTCCAGTTGACGCCATGACACCTCCTCCTCCAGTTGCTACTGATCTAGCCTTCTCCATTTGGTACAGGGTGAGGCAGATTCGAAGCTTCCAGTTCACGTCATGACACCTCCTCCTCCAGTTGCTACTGATCTAGCCTTCCCCATCTGGTGCAGGGCAGTGGCAGATTCGAAGCTTCCAGTTCACGCCATGACACCTCCAGTTGCTACTGATCTTGCCTTCCCCATTTGGTACAGGGTGAGGCAGATTCGAAGCTTCCAGTTCACGCCATGACACCTCCTCCAGTTGCTACTGATCTTGCCTTCCCCATTTGGTACAGGGTGAGGCAGATTCGAAGCTTCCAGTTCACGCCATGACACCTCCTCCTCCAGTTGCTGCTGATCTTGCCTTCCATTTGGTACAGGTGAGGCAGATTCGAAGCTTCCAGTTCACGCCACGACACCTCCTCCTCCAGTTGCTACTGATCTTGCCTTCCCCATTTGGTACAGGGTGAGGCAGATTCGAAGCTTCCAGTTCACGCCATGACACCTCCTCCTCCAGTTGCTACTGATCTAGCCTTCCCCATTTGGTACAGGGTGAGGCAGATTCGAAGCTTCCAGTCACGCCATGACACCTCCTCCTCCAGTTGCTACTGATCTAGCCTTCTCCATTTGGTTACAGGGTGAGGCAGATTCGAAGCTTCCAGTTCACGCCATGACACCTCCTCCTCCAGTTGCACTGATCTAGCCTTCTCCATTTGGTACAGGGTGAGGCAGATTCGAAGCTTCCAGTTCACGCCATGACACCTCCTCCTCCAGTTGCTACTGATCTAGCCTTCTCCATTTGGTACAGGGTGAGGCAGATTCGAAGCTTCCAGTTCACGCCATGACACCTCCTCCTCCAGTTGCTACTGATCTAGCCTTCCCCATTTGGTACAGGGTGAGGCAGATTCGAAGCTTCCAGTTCACGCCATGACACTTCCTCCTCCAGTTGCTCCTGATCTAGCCTTCCCCATTTGTACAGGGTGAGGCAGATTCGAAGCTTCCAGTTCACGCCATGACACCTCCTCCTCCAGCTGCTACTGATCTTGCCTTCCCCATTTGGTACAGGGTGAGGCAGATTCGAAGCTTCCAGTTCACGGCCGACTCCTCCTCCAGTTGCTACTGATATTCCTTCCCATTTGGTACAGGTGAGGCAGTTCGAAGCTTCCAGTTCACGCCATGACACCTCCAGTTGCTACTATCTAGCCTCCCCATTTGGTACAGGGTGAGGCAGATTCGAAGCTTCCAGTTCACTCCATGAACCTCCTCCTCAGTTGCTGCTGATCTTGCCTTCCCCATTTGGTACAGGGTGAGGCAGATTCGAAGCTTCCAGTTCACGCCATGACACCTCCTCCTCCAGTTGCTACTGATCTTGCCTTCCCCATTTGGTACAGGGTGAGGCAGATTCGAAGCTTCCAGTTCACGCCATGACCTCCTCCTCCAGTTGCTACTTGATCTTGCCTTCCCCATTTGGTACAGGGTGAGGCAGATTCGAAGCTTCCAGTTCACGCCACGACTTTTGTTCGTCACTGTACTCCCGCGAGAGACGCCATCGTCTTCGCGAGGTCTTCCCACTGGGCCTCGTACCTGGCATTTCGGTTCCGCATGACGCTGGTTTCTCGTTGACTATATCGCGAAGATTTAGGTCTGCGGTCGTCCTCCGACTCGTCTTTTCCTCGAGGGCAAGAGGGAAGGGTAAATGGGCGAGCGAGAGGATGAGGAGGAGGAAGAGAAGGACGATTATGAGAAGGAGAATGTCCTGCTTTAGGTAGGCTGACACGACCAGGGGCTTCGCTTCCCACGTCCTTCTTAGTCTTGCCAGGACGGAATCCCTCGAAGGATCCACCTGTAGACGCTGAAGATGTGGGATTGACCGGTCCTATCTGAAAAAAAAGAATCCTAGCTTGTCACCTTACGAGCATGATAAACACCCTCGACCTGATACTGATGGGGATATCAATACGGGTCGAATAACTATATCACTGGCAATTACAGTTAAATGGCATTCAGGCAATTACAGTTAAATGGCAGTCGCAGAGGGTCCAGTTCTCATTCAGACTTCCTGCGCTGTTTTCTCACCTCTCTGAGCTGCCGAAAGGGAAAACCGAGACGGTCCACCCAGCTCAGGAGCAGACGGCTGAGGCGCCCAGTCATCCCCGGGCCCTGGAAAGAGAGGAAGCGGTCCTGAATACGCTCTGAATACTGGTGCACGGAAACTCTCTTCGGGGAAATACATTGTTGCCAACCATAGAAGACGGGAAGGAAGTCACACATCACAGCATTAATGTAACCTCCACAGCATTAATGTAACCTCTACAGCATTAATGTAACCTCCACAGCATTTATGTAACCTCTACAGCATTTATGTAACCTCTACAGCATTAATGTAATCTTCACAGCATTAATGTAACCTCCACAGCATTAATGTAACCTCCATAGCATTAATGTAACCTTCACAACATTTAACCTTCACAGCATTAATGTATTATATTATATCATTAATATATCATATATATTATTCATCATATCCCATAGAACCCGACACACTGCCTCTTCCAACTCGTTCTGAACCCTGTGGAACATTTAGACTCAGGTACGTACTTACAACGGTGCAATCAAGGTAGACACATTGATAGCAAGGAAGGTCGTCAACATGGCACGTGCAGAAGAGGTTGCAGGTCTGTGTCATCTTCGTTGATCTCGTAGAAGTCGGGAATCTGCCGTGCGGGAATTTTTGAAATTGTTAGCGCGATCGTAAATACGAGTGTTTAGATATAATATTAATGGGGGATGAATTAGATAAATGCGACCGGTAGAATATAATGGTTGATGTGGATATGATCAAAATGGTCAACGTACACGAGCTTACCTTAGTTGCAGTGTTGCTATGGATAGGATACAACTCAGGCAGCGTGTGGATGAACAGGTACTATATATAACCGAGAGCGTTTGAGGTGCCGGTTCGTCTTTTTCTTTGCCGGTACTTTCGGG